ACACATTAATTTACCAGCACTCTAATCCATCTTCTTTGGATGCGCTTTCCGTGCGCGCGCATGACTCGAAAAGTCAAATCTACTGTCACACGAACTGTTGTCTTTGACATGATGGGGGCTCTATGATGGACCAAAGAAACTTTTTTTGACTATCTTCCCTCTCGTCTATGCCATCCTTGACTTGGGTTCCTAAATGTTGGCTTTTGCATTCGTCTGCCTTGTCCCTCTTTCTTATCCACCTTTGACCCATCATGCCTTTCTAATGGTTGCATCGACGCGTTCTCCAACATCCCATGCCAGCGAAATGCGAACAGCAGTTGAAAAGCAACAACTCCATCAGATGTAAAATAATAATTGTTGTAAAAAAAAGATCAAAAAAAGAAAAAAAAAATCACAATGTCATGAAAGGGATCCCATGTTCCCGTCCCGTATCGTTGATGGCCCATGGCGCTATCGCACGAACTTAGGCCTCTGCGAAAATGCCACATCTTGTGAGCAAAAAGCCCTGGTAGCGCTAAGAAAAATCTGGTCGCTTTTGGCTATTTGTACAAATCACTCAAGATGACATACCCGTATGAAGTTCGATGGCCTTGATTTCTGCCCGCACCTCCTCGGCCTGCTGTCCAACATCTTCAATGTTGGGTCGATCCTGAGGCTCTGGTGACCAGCAGGCCTGGACGATGCGCCAAAGTGTGTCGCCCAACAATGGCGGGCGATTTGGCCTACGCAAACAAGTCCAGTCAACCACAACCGCCGAGCTCTCAGGACCAGCGGTCTCACAATACTCGGTCGGTATTGCCTCACCTGTCGCCGTTGCAGACAGAGGCTGTCAATGCAGGAAGAGCCAGTCCCTCAAAAGGCTCCCGCGCAAAAGTGAGCATCTCCCACCAGAAAATACCAAAGCTACAAAAGCAAAAGAACAACAAAGGAAGGAAGAGGAAAAAAAAAAAAAGATAAAAATGAAAATAAAAAAAGAATTGGATCATCAGATGCCATTCAAATAGCTGCAAGGACTCAAGTCCACAGGCGCAAAGATAAAGGCACAAGCACGGTCGAACATGGTCACCAACCTGTACACATCGTTGGCAAAGCTCGGGTCGGTCTGGCCCGTCAAAACTTCAGGCGCCTATGACACCGAATTGAGTGAGACACACGCGATTTGGCTTTGGCAGTAAATGTCTATGCTAGCAGCTCCACTGGACCCTCTCCACCCCAAGCAAAAGGGCACGAACCATCCATTGCATGACATCCGTGTCAAACTGGCGCGACGTCTCCAAATTGTCAAAGCCTGACTGAACCGAACTGACGGAGAAGGAGCGCTCACGCGTGGCACGGTGCTGCAAGTTGCCACCACGCCGGCCCAATGCAGCGATGCGGATACTGCGGCTGTCGTCGACGAAGAACTTTTTGGCAGCCACCGCTTCGTGTGAAATTCCACACGAATGAAGGTATTGCAGCGCACGGCTAGCCTGCACGACAAAGTCCAAGCGGTGAACCAGTGGCAGTGCCAACTCGGCGTCCCCGGCTTCTCGGGTGGCACTGCGCAAAAGGTCTCGCAGCGTCCCTTCACAATCGCACCGCCAGGCAATTAGCGTTGGCTGCTCAGCCACAACGACACCCAAGAGCTGCATGATATGGCGATGCTCGAGGCTACCCAACACGCGAGTTTCAGCCAAAACCAGCGCCTTGTGCCGAGCTGGCACCGTTTCGCCCATGCTGCAAACCACCAGCTTGGCCTGTCCCTCAAACGTCTTGGCCGTGTTCTGCATGGCACCTTCGCGCAGAGCCCCAAACGCACTCCGAGACAATTCAGCACGAAGCGCGATAGAAGAGCGCTCAAGAATACGATCCCGAAGCTCCACCTGACCAGCGGCCTCGACAGCAGGAAAGCGCAATGCCAGCATCTCTTCAATCTGTTCTTCCAGTTCATCCAGGACAGTGGCTTTTTCGGCGGCCGACCAACGATCCACCAAAAAGTGCACAAGAAAGATGGTACCCAAAGCCATGACAAAAGCGGCAATGAGGGCACCCAGCATGACGGAAGAGGCCACGCGCTGCTGAGCTCCACTCGATGCGCTGCTGCGCGCCGTGTTTATGAAAATCTCGCCCAACTCGGCCTGGTTGCTGCCTTCGCTCACTTGGGAGTTCCCACGTCCGACAACCTGATGCGAAACGTTAAAGTGATAGCTACGGTTGAGGCCCACGACAATGTAAACATCCTCGCGCACGTTGAGGCTGTGCGACAAGCGGCAGGTGAAATCTACCGTTGAATCATCGCCAGTGCCGCTTTCGTCATCTGTGCTAGCACTGGTATCCATGGTAAAGCCTCGTCCACTTGTGGCCGAGATGGACATGATATGACCCAACACGGGCCCATTGGCAGGGTATGAGACCGGAACGCTGGCATGAATGCTGTGCGACTGGAAGCGCAGAGCGCGTATGCGGTCCGGCTGAGCAGGGCTTTGAGACGCTGCGCGGTACACAATATCCGGCGAGAAGCACCTCTTGATGCCTAGCTCGGGGGAGATGCTGACGTTGTACACGGCATAGGGAGCCAGGCTCACCTCCTCCAGGTCGTAATCCTGGGTTGTCTTGAGCACGGCCTGACCGTCAATGTTCAGTTCCTGCGAGGCGGGGTCAAATTCGAGCAGCACGCCTGCAACCTGCGTCTCGTTGTTGGAGTTGACGGTCATCCACATGCGCGTGGCGTTGAAGGCGCTCACGCTGGAAACGGTCAGAGTATCGTAGGGACTACCCTCCTCGACTGTCACCGAGTCGTTGGCAGGCGAGATGGCCGCAATAGTCTCGAGCATGCTAAACTCTTGCTCAGCCGCAGGTCCCATGAGCTCACCCAAGGGCACACGCAGCACGGAGCACGCCGACGGAGCCACGCACGTGAAGCCAGGCGCCAAAGGAAACACAGTCAAGCGATAACGAGTGTATTGGTTCACGTAGAGGGTCTGCACTACACCCGAGCTGGGGACTGGGTCAGGCTTCAGGGTGACTACATCCCGCTCGAGCCGCTCACCATACTCCGTTGCAGCTATGAGGCGCAACAGATACCCGCTCTCCGCACCAGATCCACCAGGCCAAAAGCCAACGTCGACGCGGCTCATGGCTGGATCACGCTGCACCACCAACTTCTTCACAGCACTCAAGTCATGGGGCTCCACCAGGGCCGGTACGGCAGCGGTTAAGGCCGAGGCCGTGGCAAAGGCTGACAAACTCAAACGGTCACGAAGAATGACTCGCACTTGTGCAGCACCGCGTAGTTGGGCAAGGGTAAAGCGAAAGCGATAGTTGAAGATGCCTTGGGCCGAGCACGCATCGACATGATGTGAATGATTGGCGAGGTGGTCAACGAGGCAAGACCGCAAGCCAGGGTTCACGGCATCCACGTCCAGACCGGCAGGAAAGGAGAAGAGAGAGGCAGGGCGCAGCACGGATCCGTCAGACGATAAAAGAGCCACCTCGATCACAAAAGCAGACACCGAGGCCACCGGCATGCTGAGAGCAAAGTGTGCTTCTGCCACGTTGTATGCTACCCCGGTCAAGACCAGGTCTGAAGCGATGGACGGTGGCACAAGCAACGGAAAACTAAAGGTGTGCGACGAGCTGCCACAACGCGGGTTCTGGATGAAGAAAGTGAAAGATTGCTGGGAACCCGGCGAGAGATTCGATGCGAGCCACTCCTCTTCAACAACTTCCACGCCGTCAATGGACAGCGTGTATGTTGACAGAAAGTGCAAGTCGAAGAGCAGGAACAGCGTGTCGGTGCTTGTATAGTACCGAACGTCGGGAATGGGGCAGCCCACAGCTAGAACTTCGACAGCAACACCATAGCTGTTATAAATCAAAGAGCCCGAGGTGGTACTGAAAGAATGGATGCGACCAAGGACACCAGGCACGGGTGAGCTTTGTGCCTCCTCCAAGATGGTTGGGGACCAGGACAGGAGAGTGGGGATGTCGACCAGAATGGCAGAGGTGCCGTCGTTGCTGGGTAACAAGAGCTCATCAGCGCGGCCATGCCAAGCTGAACGGCCATCCACCCATCCCTGTTGCCAGAAGTGGGTGTCGCCGGACACATAAAAGTGTGTGCGTCGATTCGAGGCCTGGGCCGGGTTCTGACAGCCCCATGCAGACCGGGTCAAGTCCCACGCAAGTGCGCATCCAGCGTGGACACACGAGGCCGGGTCAATGGCAGCGCAGGTCGTGGGTAAGGGGCTCACTAAAACTGAATTGAGACGGACTTCGGCCGGATCGAATCCGGGAATCGTATTGGTCCAGCGACTCAAAACAGCATGACCTCCACTAAAGAGAACCTCTTCCAGCTGGGGGGCGAGAACGGACTTGGTCTTGGACAGAGGCGCAAACCCACTCCACTCCACGATCGCGGCTTCACCCACAGGAAGGCTGGGACTTATGGCCAGGTTTCGGTAGGGCCAGGCCATATCGCAGCTGCTAGACGGCCCCATGCAGCGCACTTGGGACACAGTGCTACTGCTGCTGTTCAGGTGCTCAAAGGCCATGGCAATGGTGGCCCCGGGCGTAATGGGCAAGAAAAAGTCGTTGCGACCCAACAGTCCGTTGGGGCGGGTGACAGCCACAAGTCGGGTTGAGACAGGCACAGCCGGGTCATCGAGAGGGATAGCAGGAATGGGAAAATCACGCAAAGGCATGCCACGTTGGCCAACATCCAAGCCCTCACCAACCAGGTCTTGGGCTGGCAAGCGTCGTTGGGTCAAGAACCAGGCACCTGCCACGCTTCCTGAAGCGTTGATAGCTGGTAGTTGAGGAGCGAACTGAAGCTCAACATCGGCGGGGCCGGAACGGCAATAGCTGGCATGGTACAAAAGGACCCGATGCGTGCCAGTGCTGCCTTGGGTGAGGCGGATGTATGTAACGTTGGTGACGGCTTGAGTGTAGCCGCCAAGAGCACGAACGACGCGCGAGTCGCCGGGTAGACAGAGGTCTAGTACCAGGGGGGCACACAGCTGCTCGGCATCAAAGGGTGCGGCACGCCACTCGACGAGGGATAGTGCAAAGGAGCTGTGGCAGAGGGTGTAGTGGCGACTGGATAATAGGGCCGCGCCGCTGGCAGTCACCACGGGTCGCAAATCTTGTTCAAGGCGGGGGCCCGCATCTGCGGCCACTGCGAGTGGGTAAGCCACGGGGCTGGAACTAGTCAACATGGCAGAAGTGGTCAACGTCGCTGCGAGGGTGCTGAGGGCGCAGGAGGCAAAGGCCGTATCGCTGGGCAGGCCCACCCAGGTTGGGAAGTCAAAGGATAAGTCGCATCCGACGCTGGCAGAAAGTTCCAGTGACTCGGCCTGTGGATGGTAGCCCATGGTATTGGTTCCGGCTGGAAAGGCGGCGGCATAGAGCACCGGTGTTGATGCAAGCGGATGGTTGGCCGCCAGGGTCTCCAGAGCTACCGCTAGTGTGTCATGGGCAATGATGCTGTTATACTGGCCGCCTTGAACGTAGGTGGCAGCGGCGTGGGCAAACACGCCTAGTGCACGCCCCAAGCAAATGTGAGTCAAGCGCACCGAGCGGCAAAGAGCAGGGCGATGCATTGTAGGAGCGGGCACAGTGGCGCAAGGGTGGCGGGGAAAGAGTGCTGCCGAAGGGGTGTACCTGGGCAAAAGGCAGTAAAGCGAAGCCAAATGATGGTTGAAGAAGCCGAGCTGACGGTGAGCGTGGCGGTATCAGCATCAAGGCTCGTGCTGAAGCTACCGGCTCCTTGCGTGGTTGAATAATCAATGTAGGTGCTGGGGGTGGCGCACACCATGTCCGATATGTCGAGAGTCAGAGAGCGTTGACTGGTGAGGCGCAGCACGGCAGCAGTTGTCTTGATTGTTTCAGTAGGGTCGACGATTTCGTCGCGACGGCGGCGAGCACTATTCAGAACCGACGGACCTAAAAAAGAAACAACGACAGGATGATGAAGGAAAAGAAGCACGGGGTAAGCCTGGCGTTCAAGTGCAAGGGTCGATAGGGCGGGCCGCTAGCAGAAAGACGCAAAACTGAAAGCAATGACAAAGCGACGCTAGGGGTGGCGTACGGAGGCAATAGACGTTGCGCAGAACGGTGGCAGGCACGCCGGGCGGGGTGTGGAGAAGCGACCAGCTGTTTGAGCGGGACCAGACGTATGGCGGCATGTCCGCGGGCAGAATGACGCCGTCGACATCAAAATCAACCATGTTGCCACCATTGAGCAGCGGGCAGGGATCAGAGTTCTGGTTGCCAGTGAAATACAGGCCCGAGCGCCGGGGCCAATGAAAAGCGGTCACGTTATCGTTGGTGACAAATCCAGCGGGTTCAGGGTTGCCACCGGCAGCCTGCTTGACGCAAATGGGGCAGGCTCGGGCAAAGAGAAAGTCGGCTTGGTTGCCAACAAAGGGTAGGCTGAGGGGAGAGCAGTCGTCGACTCTGAGATCGGTTTGCTCGACACGAAAGCCAAAAGGATCACCGGTGCAGTCGCTGTTTTTGAAGATGCGAAAGCTAAAGACGTCGAGGTCATCCTCGTCCTGTGTGATGAGGGCAAAGATTTCCTGCAAGCCAAATTCTTCAAAGGCGTTGGACTGGAAGCGGGTGCACAGGTCAGCCTCGAACAGCTGACAGCGGGCATCGGCTGTTTAGGTGGTACCGGGGACCAAATGAGCGGATAGCCGTCCAGCCAAAGTTCAAGCGGAGGGAAGAAAGGGGGCGCGCACATGAGGAGATGAATCAGCAAAGGGCACCAAGAGCGAGGCGCGTCGGCTGGGAACGGCACGTACAATCAAATTCACAGTCCTTCTGAGGCCGAAAGCCGCACAGGAAGATTTCGTTGCTGTCCAAGTCGTTACCTGTGAACGGTGAAGCGTTTGGGTGAGCCGTGTCCTCTTGGTGCGAGAATGAGACAACCATTCTTCCCCCTTCCCGCTCAAGTCGAAGCAAAATGCAGACAGGCCCGCACACGTACTATCTGCATCCACAGGGATCGAGCACTGCAGAAACGCCCAGACTAGGGCTAAAGCCCCGGTCCAACCGCGTACAGCCTGCATGGTTTTTTTTTTTTTTTTCTGAGAGAGGAGGGCGCGCAAGTTTGACGAGCCAATCGTATGTATGGCCGTCAACCCATTGGTGATCCTCTCCCACCACCAGCAACGGCAGACGCAACAGGAAGAGGACGACCCCGCCGCCCCAATCCTCGTTCAATAGACGACGACGAGGACAACGAGGAGGAGGAGGAGGAGGAGGACGACGACGACGACGATGGCGCCGACAGCCGACAGCCGACGGTCAGACACACGCACACACGCACACACGCACGGGTGTGGGAAATGCAGCTTACGTTGTTACTAGTTTGTGCTCACAAGTGTGCCAGGGCGTTTCGGTGTTGAGTTGGTTTAAAAGTTAGAGGGTATATTTTATTTTAAGGAATGTTGAGATTCTGTGCATATTTGAATAAGTGAGGCTTTGCTTTTAGTGAAGTTGTTCTTCTGAATTCCACAGTGTGCTCCGTTGGCTCCGGAGCTCCGAGAAATGTGGTGGCAAAAGGGCAGCGATGCCGTTTTCCTGGCTACTTCTCAGCAGCGCCTCGTCTGCCCAGCAGCAGCACATCCAGCGCAGTACCAGTGCTGCCAAGCAGCTTTTGCAAACCTGTTTCGAACCCCAGCAAACGAGCGAGAACTCACCAAGATCACCCCCCATACTCCGACCTCCGAGATCCAAAATGCCTGACACTTGTTTTTCGCGCCCATATGAGCTCTTAAGGAGAAGCGCCCTTGCGCCACACACACACACACACACACACGCTCCGGGGCTGAGGCACTCCGAAGCCACGATTTGACCACAACAGGAGATCATGCTGGGTAGCAGCAGCAGCAGCAGCAGCAGCAGCAGGCATGAAACAGTGCCGCTGGCACATGCATGATGATATCCACGATCAACCACGCTCAACCACGCTCAACCACGCTCAACCCACTGGCTGTTGCCTTAGCACACACACGTGGTGGATGCTGACGGCTCGCGCCTCCCTCTCCAGTCGCTGCTGGCCCTGTGTCGGCATTTTTCTTCTCCCATTTTCCTACGTCGAGTCGACCTTGACCCCGCCGTGGTTCAACGTCCCCTCTGCCTTTATCCCTCTTCGCCCACACCCCACCTCCCCGCTAATCCCATACCGGCCACCATGGTTGCCCCTGACCAAAAGTCCATGCCCGTGACGGTCTTGTCCGGGTTTCTGGGCGCCGGTAAAACGACCCTGCTCAAACACGTGCTGCTCAACGCCCCCAAGGGCTTGCGCATCGCCATCGTGGTCAACGACATGGCCACCATCAACATGGATGCTGCTTTCCTGCGTGCTGCCGGTATCTCTCAAGCTTCGGAAGACATGATTACCCTGCAGGACGGCTGCATTTGCTGCACCCTCCGAGGTGATCTCCTCAAGCAACTCCACGATCTGGCCACCAGTGGCAAGTACGACTACTGCATCATTGAGAGCACCGGCATCAGCGAGCCCATGCAGGTGGCCGAGACTTTTGCCTTTGATTCCGAATCTGCCCAAACCTTTGGGTTAGAGGAAAGCCTGCCGGGAGTGGCCCACATTGACACCTGCGTTACCATGGTCGACGCCCTCAGCCTGCCCAACTATTTCAAGGATGCCCGTCAGCTCCCCGATTCGGATGAGCCCAACGTGGACGAGGAGGACGAGCGCAATCTGGTCAACCTCCTCGTTGACCAGCTCGAGTTTGCGGATGTCGTCATCCTCAACAAGACCGACAAGTGCAAAGACATCAAGCGCCTCGAAGGCATTGTCCGCTCCTTCAACCCCGGTGCCCGCGTCCTTCACGCCAACTACGCCAAGGTCGATGTCAACGAGGTCATCAACACCAAGCTCTTTGACATGGAAAAGGCCACCAATGCACCCGGTTGGCTCAAGAGTCTCCGAGAGGAGCACACCCCAGAGACGCTCGAGTACGGTGTCACCAGCTTCACCTACCGCCGACGTCGCCCCTTCCACCCTCAGCGCCTCTTTGAGCTCTTGACCCAAAGCTTTGGTATTCAGGAGGTTGTTCCTGGTGGTGATGAGGAAGAGGAGCAGGAGCAGGAGCAGCAGGAGGAGAACGAGGCCAAGAAGACCACCAAGGAGCCTCACAATCACAACCACACCCACACCCACCCTGGTCAGCTGCCCAAGACTCTCAGAGTGGATGCACCCACCACTGACATGGACACGGGCGCCGAGGAGGTTGCGCCGGCCGATGAGGAAACACGTGGCAGCAGCGAGGCCAAGGTTGCTCGACGACAAGCCCGCTCGCCCATGAGCGAGGGTGAAGCGGAAGAGCCTCAAAACAACACCGAGGAAGAGAAGGAGGAGAGCGACAGTGATGAAGACGACGATGAGGATGATGAGGACATGGTGGACCTATGCGAGCTCAAGGAATCGAGCGTTTTTGCCAATGTCCTTCGCTCCAAGGGCTTTTTGTGGATTGCCGGCCGCCGTTTGATGGGCAGCTGGTCGTCTGCCGGTGTGTACGTCCAGGTCGGCCCCGAGGGCCCCTGGTTGGTGGACATGCTCGAGGAAGACTTTGTCAAGCAGCTGTCCAAGGAACTGCTTGAGAAAGAGGTGCACAGCCATCCCCATGGTGATCGCCGACAGGAGCTCGTCTTCATCGGCCAAACACCCTTGCGCCAAAAGGAGATTGAGGCGGCACTTGACGCTGCGCTTGTCACGGATGAGGAGTGGCCCGAGGGTCCCAAGCTGGAGGATCCCTTTGATGCCTCTTGGGCCATGTAAACCTGTCTTCGGCGGCAAATGCCAAAGAGTGTGTGTGTCTTGTCTGTGTGCAGTAGAAGCCTAGAGGAAGGGACTGCAGTCAGCCCGATTCGACCCGAGCGCCTTGTCTTGTCTTGTGTGGATGTGCATGCTGTTGTCGTTGTAGTTCTTCCATCCACTTAATTATGTGCCCAGGTCATCTTGCCGCTGCCATATCAATCGAACCTGATTCAAACCAACCCTCCCGACCTGGTACAAGTGAAGACGAGTGCGCCCAAACTCGACTCCGCCCAAGAAAAAACCACATGCCGCCAAATCGCGAACGCAGTGAAGTGCTCAAATTCGAGAAATTGTTTGAAACATATGTTGTAAACATTCGGTGTTGACGACGAAATTTGCCGTGACAAGGGAGCAAAACAAAAGAGAGGGCAGCTGATGAAGGGCTAAACTCAGAGATGCAGCAAAATTTAAATCTTCACCCAACATGGATCGTAAGCTGATCAAGAGAAATGTGGTTTCTCGACTCCAAATCCAGAGAATCACCACGGCCTGATTTTTTTTTTTTTCCAGCAAGTAAGTGCTTCTGCAAAAAAAAATGAAATAAATGCTGAAATGGCAGTCGAGTTGCTTGTGCGCGTGACGGCTGCGGGCCCTTTCCACGCCTCGCTAGCGGATGCTTCAAATGCAATTCGGGTTCCGTTAGCGGTGTAGCTGTTGCGAGAGAGCCGTGGTGTCTCCTGGAAGTGTTTTTGAGCACCACTGTGCCGCTCACGACCACCTTTCTCTCTCTCTCTCTCTCTCTCTCGCTGTGCGCGTAGCTGTGCCGCCTTCTTCCATTCCCGCGCTCTTCAGCCACCATGGCTGACGCGGACATTTATAGGTAAGCTACATCATTGTTTGGACCGTTGGCACCAGAACTAGACGTCTGACCCCTTGATGGCTGCCCTCGATCCGCATGGTAGTGGCTATGACGACTACGACGCCGCCTACGACGTCGAGGTGCGCCTGAAATCGACCTGCTGCCGATCCAGTCTTGAACAAACTTGCTTGTAGACCCTTTTCTCCAATACACCTGATCTCAAAACGTGTGCTTCTCTTCAGAATCTCCAAGAAGATGAGGGCTTTCAAAAGGCACTGCAAACCGCGCACGGGGGCCGCCCAGGCCTGCGCACCAGCGCCGGTCGCGGTCGCGGCGCGGGCGGACGTCCGATGACTGGACAGCGTCTCATGACGGGTCGTCTTATGACTGGCCGCGTTGGCACGGCTGCTCGCTTGACCACCGGTTACAATCCAGACGTAGGCTCACGCGCTCATCGTTTTTGTTTGCTTTATTTCTATATGTTCCCTGCTGGGCCTTGTATCGATTTATTTTGTGTTTCAACTTTTTGCTAATTTTTTGCCCCCCCTCCTCAAAGGACGAAGGCGCCGAGCGCCGCCCCATGACGGCCATCAAGGGTGCTGGCTTCTCCTCAAGCAAAGGTTGGCAGAGTCCCGTCAGCCTGCTGTGCCCCCACACCTCGCCTCGAGGGCCATGCTGCGCTCACCTCGCCTTTGACGGAACACTCACTCAGGCCGCTCAAGCAACTTTGATCCGATGGCCACCGACATCCCGGCGCCTCTGGAAAAGACCCAGGACACGAGCCCCGAGGCCAACATTCGCAACCTTGAGGCCAAGGTCCATGATTTTTTGGAAGAATCCTCATTTGCAGTCAGCAAGCGCAAATTTCAAGAGGTAACGTCGAGCATCCTTGGTCCCTGTTTCTGTGACCCCGCTTCCCCCTCTATTTCGCATCGTTGTCAGCGAGCTCGCAACTGACTTGTAACAAAATTTTCCCTTCTGCGCTTCTCCGTATGCTGACGCGTGCCTTTGGAATGCGTCCTCTTGAATCAGGCCTTGGACAAAGCCAAAGAAGCCAGCGTGCTCGAGCGCCAGCTTTCCAAGCTCCGAGAGCAGCACTTGGGTCCCGACCAACTCAACTTTGATTTGACTTTTGCTGTACGCCGCCTCGTCTGGCTCCTTTTTTTTTTTTTTTTTTTTTTTTTTTTTTTTCTTCTCCGCCTCCCGTGCGTGTCCGCCTGCCACCTCATCAGCCGTCGTCTCTTGCCTTTTTCCAGGTGCTGGTGCAGCTGGCCAACGTGTACCAGTTCTGTGAAATGTATACCGAGTCCATCAACACACTCATGGTTCTTGTCAAGAACAAAACTTTTGACCGAGCCGGTCGTCTCCGCGTCAACATTGGTAACATCTACTTTAAGCAGGGCAAGCACCTGCAGGCCGTCAAGCAGTATCGCATGTCCCTGGATCAGATTCCCTCAGATCAGCAACAGCTCAAGTGCGCACCCTTTCATCGTGCTGCTCTTGCAAATGACATGCAACCCGTTTCTCACCTCCAATGCGTGTGGTGTGGTGCTGTCACAGGAATCGGGTACTCAAAAATATCGCCCATTGCTTTGTCAAGATGGGCCAGTACGCTGATGCCATGAAAACCTATGAACATGTGCTCGAGCAGACGCCTATTCGTGTATGTTTTACGGCTGGATGACTGCTTTGGCCTTGTTGGACCGGCCCAAGGTCCACGGCGATATGTGTGTGGTTCCTGCAACTCATCGGTCCATTGCGTGCGGCCGTGCCGAGCAGGAAATGGAGGGTATGGAGGAACGCGAACCGGGGAATGACTTTCAAACGGCTTTCAACTGCATTCTCTGCTACGTTGCCATTGGCGAGCGGGATCGCATGAAGCGTGGCTTCATCCGCATGCTCTCGCTTCAGTTGGACGGCGATCCCGATGGCGATAAGTATCTCAACGTTCAGGATGATTCACAAGTGCAAATGTTTCTCGATGCCGTCAAGGACGACCAGCTGCGTGGCTTGGAGCGCCGTGCCAAGAAGCATGCCGAGCGCTACCTGTTGTTGGCAGCGCGCTTGATTGCCCCGCTGATCGAGAGTGATTTTGCCGATGGGTTTGATTGGTGCATTGAGAAGATCAAGGCCTCGGCCTTCAACCCACTGGCCAGCGAACTCGAGATTCATAAGGCGCTCTCCTATCTCAAGGTCAAAGAATTCAAAAAAGCCGTCAAGCTCCTCAAGGGCTTTGAGAAGAAGGAGTCGCACATGCTCTCCACCGCCGCCACCAACTTGGCATTCCTTTACGCCCTCGAAACCGACTACACGCAAGCCGAGGAATATGCTGATCGCGCCATTCAAGCCGACAAATACAACCCCAACGGTGCGCACTCGACTGGACTGGATGCGGCTTCTTGTCGCTTGCTCGTCTTGAGTTTTGCATCAAATGTGTTTTCTGTCGAGTCTCGACAAACCGACTCACCTCACCTTGGTCTTTCTGCGTAGCCATGGTGAACAAGGGCAATTGTTTGCTGGCACAAGATAAACACGCCGAGGCCATTGAGTTTTATCACGAGGCCTTGGCTGTGGATTCTGGCTGTTTTGAGGCCCTGTACAACCTGGGCTTGGCCCATCGACGCCTCGGAGACCTTGACGAGGCATTGGATTGCTTTCTCAAGCTCGCCGACATGCTGCCCGAGCATGCCGAAGTTGTTTACCAAGTTGCTGCCGTCTATGAAGAGCTCGAAGATTTTGATCAGTCATGTGAATGGTTCGAAACATTGATTGGCTTGGTGCGCACCGATCCCAACGCACTTCGTCACTTTGGTGAGCTGTACGACAAACTGGAGGATAAGTCGGAAGCCTTCAAGTATCACTTTGAGGTATGTCACAACAACACAAGCTGTTTCTTATTCAATTTGCGTTTCAAGAAGACGTCGTCTTTGTGTTTTGCCCTGTGAGCACTGACAACTGCGAGCCTTGTCTGACCTCCCGTTGCCTGGCTGCCTTAGGCGTTTCGCTACTTCCCGTCGGATATTGCCACAATCTCATGGTTTGGATCCTACTACATCGAGTCGCAATTCATTGAGAAAGCCATTCAGTACTTTGAGCGCGCGGCTGAAGTACAGTACGTGCTGCATGGCCTTCTACCCCGGCTGTTCGTGCGTTTTCGTGCCATTATGTACGCCTCACTCGGCTCGTGGTGCAACCAACTGTATGCAGGCCTGGACAGGTCAAGTGGCGCTTGATGATTGGCTCGTGCTATCGGCGCACAGGCAACTATCAGCAGGCACTTGAAGTGTACAAACGGACGCATCGCCTCTTTCCGGACAATGTTGAGTGCCTCAAGTTTCTTGTTCGCATCTGCACAGACATGGATCTACCCGAGGCTCAGGATTTCGCGGTGGCCTTGAAGCGCGCTGAGCAAATGACGGAGCGCAAGAGAAGCGCAACGACTCGCGCCAACAGCGGTCGTCGCACCCGCAGTGGCCGCACTCTCGGCCACTCTGCCTCCAAAGCCCGGGCCAGCAGCGGCACAAACTCGCTCAGTAGCTCGACCAATGCCTTTCCAGCAGATGCAGCAGCCGTGGATGCACATGAGGCAGAGGTAACGCCCAAGCCCCAGGCCCTTGATGCGTCCTACAAGGACCCCATTGGCCAAATGCCAAACCGTCCCAAGACGGCCGCGCAACGCTCTCAGCCCCCTGATGAGGAGAACTGGGATGATATTGATGACGACCTGCTCCCCGACTAGCGCTGCGTATCCCAGGAGAAAGAAAATAGTTGGCTTGTCGCTCCTGCTGGCAGTGCCAAGTTGCGTCCGTTATCGGGCGTTGACATAATTGAAGAAGCTGTCTCAAGACGTCGTGTTGCCCGACATCAACCCATTCTTTTTTTCTGCTCGTGTGCAAATGCGTTTTTGTTTTTAATTTTTTTCTCAATTGGCGGGGATGGGCTCGCGAGGCTCTAGGTCATTGTCCCGTTCAGAACCTGAAATACATCTCGGTGGGAAAACTCAGTGTGTGGGCTCAGCAGTCAGGGCTCATGCCCATTGCTTCTACAACAATGGCATGACGAGATCAGATGACAGCGAGCGGGGTGAATTTTGGGCAAATGTCAAATCGCCTGCCCGTCTTGGGCACTTACCCCGAGTTTCCGCTGTCGAGTAGTCGCGTTTAGCAGCGCCCCTTGCTCCATCGTCAGCCCCATCTTGAACGCTAATTTGGGTGTCCATGGGCTCAGCCTCAGTGGACCCCACGGATGTGTTGGCCTCGCCCGTCGCGCCAGCCTGTGCCGCCTCGCGCGCGGCGCGCTCCTGTGGCGCCGGGTACGTGATGGCCATGTATGAGGATCCTTCAGGATTGAGTCGGAGCACCAAGGCCTGGGGATGGGGAGAGCAAAGTAAGACGAGGACACACCTCAACGAGACGGCGGTAGCGCTCAACCTCAGCAGCGGTTTGAACCCGGATTCTAAAGAAATGAGGGGTGCGTTGCACAGCAAGGATGAGACGATGGCACCATGGAAGAGCCAACATTGGTGAAGAGATGAACAGACTCGGTCATGGTTGTGGCGTCGACGTCGGCCTCGCGAGGCAACAGCGGTTGGGGTGCGACAGGCTGCGGACAAAAGAGCGAGAGAGCGCGCGCGCGCAGCGGTAGTGAGCTGAGCGACGACAATCAAAAAAATGTCAGCCCAAGTCAACAGACTGGCGGCAGCTCACACCTCCTCATTGGGATCACGATAACCAGAGTTGTGAAAGTAGGAAAAGGCGATCAGCTTGTCCGCGCTTGGTCGCTTGCGAGGGTCAAACTACGGAAACGATCGGTTTCAGAGGTGAGGAGCAGGCGCGCACGACAAGTAGATGTTATCGAGCTCAACATTTCAACACAGGGATCAGGGCGTGTGCCTGCGTCTGTGTGTCTGTGTGTCACCCTGTGCGTGTGCGTACCTGCATGATAGCTTCGAGCATTTCAAGAGCCTCGGGTGTGGCCCCGGGAAAGGTGGTTGCAAAGTCGGCGCGCGTTTTTTTGTCTAGGCGTTTGAGGTAGCTGCGCGTGCTCTCCTTGGGGATCCAGGTGAGGTCGTCATCGCTGGGTGAGCCCACAAGATCCAGCACGCGGTTCATCTATCGACCAGCCATGGGAAACAATTCAGCAAGCGCGGTCGCATGCCAAGCAGGGGTCGTGCTATGTGGTGCATGGGCCATGAACAAACATGATCAACCGCATTGCGGCTGGGGAAAAGTGGTCGGCCGGTGATGCACTCGCCCAAGATGCAGCCCACACTCCAGATGTCTGGTAAAATGGCGAACGGGGTGATGAGTTGGTTGGCGTCCAGTGCGCAGGCACGCGCAGAGCAGGAGGGGCAAAAAACGATGCGCCGGGCGTACCCATGGCCTGGTCGCAATATTCGGTGGACACGGTGATCTCTGGAGCCCGATACCACCTTTTGATGAGTAGAAGAAAAGCCGCAAAGCCAGGGAGAAGCATCAGTTGGTGTTTTGGCATAAGAGCCACAACGCGCGGGGTAGAGGGGCTTTGGATGAAGGAAAGAAGCGAATGGAAGCCAGCTTCGAGCACACACACACACACACACACACACACACACACACACACACACACACATGCATCCATACCGGGTGGCCACATATTCCGAGAGCTTTTCGGGGTTGTCTGGGTCAACGACGCGGGCCAGGCCAAAGTCGCAGATGACGAGCGCGCAGTCTGTGCTGCTGTTGATTAGGATGTTCTATGGGTCCAGGATGGCGAGGCAAGATGAGACCGGGCGAATGGGATTGTCCCGGGATTTGAGACGGCGGAACAAGGTGGGAGGGGGCGGACACACCTGGGGCTTGAGGTCACGGTGGAGGACGTTGGCAGAGTGCAGGTATTTGAGGGCCTTGAGAATTTGATAGCTCCAGTAAGATGTGTGTTGGTGGGGGATGAGTTGACCACGCTTGCGAAGGGTCTTGATGAGTTTGTAAAGGTCCATTTCCATGAGGCGGAGGACGAGGTAGACCTCGCGGATGGACTCTGGCTCACTGGCGGCGATGAGCTCGATGACGTTGATGATGCACTCGTGTTCGAGGCGGGTTAGGATCTTGATCTCGCGGAGGGTACGGCGCGAGAAAGAGAGATGTTCTTTGAGGAGCATCTTCTTGATGGCCACGCGCTGGCCTGTCTGGGAGTCCTTGGCCGAGACGACGACGCCATAGGAGCCTTCGCCCACGAAGCGAAAGTGCCCGTACCGAGGTCCCACATCGATAATGTGGCCGTGGACCGTGTGCACGCCATTGGCCATGGCAGAGATGTGCTGCATGGCAGACCCCTCCCCACCTGTCGTGCTATTGGCAGCGGCCATCCCGCAAAAGCTGAGCGGGACGGGGAAGGCGGGCAGGGAGCAGCACAGCCAGCCGCACAACCGTTCAAACGTCGTCGTCTTCGTCGCGCGACTGGTGTCAATCAGTGTCGAAAACGTCCGCGCACGAAACTCCCTACGCCAAAAGCAAGGAAAAGAACAACCCCATGAGCGAGCGGCGCCATTGACCTGTAGCTCCATCCTCCCCCTCGCCTTCCATGCCCCCCTCCCCTCCGTGCTCCTCCGTCCTCTCCGCCTCCCTGCCCCCTGCCCCTGCCCCCCTGCCTTTCGCGCGCACAGAGAGAGAGAGAGAGAGAGAGAGAGAGAGAGAGAGAGAGAGAGAGAGAGAG